TGGTAATGTTCCAGCCCCCCCCCCCAAAATAAGAGGTTAAGGGTACAGCTCAAACTTGCTTGATACTTACTTTGAAATAGTTTTTCATAAAAAATGATCTCGGTAGAAATATTTTTACAGTTTCGTGTCATAATTATTACTAGTTGTTTCATATTAGGATGTGAAGGGAATGTTTGATATACGTGAACATTTAAACTTCTGTCAAATTGCAGATTTTTATACAACGAAAGACGTCATCTTTTTCTGGGACTCGTATTACTGCCACAATACCACAATTTCGAACTGTCAGGGTAGTCTTACCCAAAACATCCCATGTCTCATGTCTCTACGCCAAGAAAACATACACAGCTGCAGGAGAAACTATACCCCCTACACTTTTCATGCAACAGAAATGTGGAATAAAATAAATAAACTTCTGTTACTTACAAAAAAAGGTTTGCAAACTAAACCCCTTTGTTGATTTGGCTTGTCAAACTTCGCCACCATTCTGTATACGACGTGTTAACGGCTCGATGTGTGAGTGTCATGCTAACACACACGCGCAGGTATGCAGGAAACTATCACTCATACACTTCCACAGACGTGGTCGCTGACGAAAGCCTGTCCGTTTCGCTCGCAAACGCGTTTAATGTTTTATCGATAGCTAATAAACGCGTTCGTCACGATCGCAACATTGTGCTCAATAGTCTTATATATCGCAATTATATGTGAAACTGGTGTGTCGGAATGTAGCAAAATTATTATAGTACTGACCACTGGAGTGGTGAGAGGGTTTTCGTCGTTGTTTGGTTAGAATTTTGTCAGTAGAGCAGAGCAAGAACTTCTGTTATTTAATTAAGTAAGAGCAACACACTGTAGCCCTCCTCAAACCAATAATTAATTGTAAAAAACAAGTTGTTTGATGACAAATTTTAGGTGCTCAGATCCCATTCGTAGTCACCCACCAAGTTTTGTTTGAAATCTAATCTAAATAACAGTTTTTACTTTGGTTTTAGTGAATTTCCCAAGGGAAGTGGCTATTACGGCACGGTAGGACCTGGAGCTGGGGCCGATATACTTTTTCAGTTTAATGTCCCTAAACTTGGGTAATTTTTGTTCAATTTTAATGATATTTAGTTTCAAGGTGTAAGGTGGGGGAAACTTGAATGAGTTCGTGAACCAGTATGATCGGACCATGGGAACAGGGTTTTACGGGGGGTCTTAAACATTCATTCGACGGTGGGAAATACGGTGGGTTATTCTCATTTTGACCCTCAAAACACAACATTTTCCAATTTCTCCATGGACCATTTTATAGAACTTAATAACAAAGAGTTCATCCCTGAGTGTTTTTGTACGGTTATTGGTTACGGGGAAATTAAAAAATTTTAAATTCCCACGTTATTCTTAAGGACAATTTTGTAAAATGTTTTAATTTGCTCATTTATCGAAATATTTTGATCAAACTTGGCAAATTTATTTATTTATACTAAGCTACTACAAGTTTACTAAAAACACACTTTATTAGCCTCCTTGTAGCAGCAAACCTATGTACCCGTAAAACCTAATGTTATTAAAATAGATTTAATCTAAAATCAATTCAGGCAAATGGAAATTCGCTTAGTCTGCACGTTTGCTGCGGTGGGGGTTTTTATACTAATATCAGTAAACCATTAAAGAATAACCTTGAAAATTGACGCAGTTTATCTATGCTGGTCAAGGCGCAATCTAGGTAATGAGCTGGCTTAGTCGGTTGTGTAGCAGATGATAAAACCGTTATATAGTCAATGATAAAACTAAGGCAGCGATTAACGAAGCAATAATTTTTCATGAATGAGGGCTGTTGGCTGCACTTTACTTTAGGTCCTACACAAACAACCGAGTGAAAATATCGATTATTCGATTGTTTTATTCGATATATCGTTTGGTTAGTTAGGTTAGGTTAACCTTACCTTACTAAAAATTCCAACTGACAATTAATTAAAAGGAATGATAGCAAACTAAAATATTCTAAGACCTCCGAATTCTATTTTTTTGTACTCGCACAAATTTAGAGCATGGACTTCTTGTCCTGAAGACCCTTGTTCAAATTCCGCCAATCACAAATAGCTAATAGCATTGACTATACACCATAAACCAGTTATTTGATAATTAAGCGTACTGGTGGTTCTAAGCACATTTTGAGCTGAACGTCCCAGCCACTAAAAAAATAGGTAAATTATACAGTGAGCTCATTAGGGAATTTTTAATAGTTTTGGAAATCTCTTAACTAAACAATGGGCCGCTTTAACTTTATTGGTACTTCAAGAATGTCATAGTGTTTACTCTCTAGACCCCTTACATATTATAAGGAGAACATTTTGTTGTTGTAAAAATCTTCGGGTTTGAGTTTTGGGTGGAAATATCTATTTTGTGCCCCCCTGAACCCAAGAAAAGTAGTTTTTGAAGTGATGTCTGTGTGTTTGTGCCTCTCAGTGCGTGTACATGTTTAAACGTTCAAACTACACCTGTGGTCCGATTTTGATTAAATTTGGTATGTGAGTACCAATCCATAGTATCTTTTCCCATAAAAACCCAAAAAATAACAGACAAATCTTACATTAACAAATATTGCTCTAATGACATTGTTTGAAATTTAGTATGTTATAGTTCTTTTTAACTTAAACTAAACAGTACAACCCTTATGGCTGTAAAAATCACGTTTCAAAAGTTATTGTAAGTTTTTTTTATTTTCCCCATATTATATCATAGTTACTCCCACCGCTTGCCCAATCAAAAATTGCCCATGGGTTATAAGTGGAATAAGAATTGTTAAATAGCTGATGGGAGAAATTATCTGTCAGATTGCTGATTTGACCAGTATGATCGGTTACTTTCTGTTAACGTATTACTAAGAAAGGTAATAGGTTCCAAATAATGTACCTACAAGTATAATTTGGTTAGTAGGCCTATGTAATTTCACAATTTTGTTAAATTCATGATTGTAGTTTTCGTCAACATGAACAGCATATTACAAACAAAACAACAATCGCACACAACTAAAAAAGGTCTTGGCAAAACTTTGCATTTAATCATACAAGTATCTTTCATAAATATTACAACTGTCAGAATAATAGCCCGAGTTACTTGCATCCAAATTTAAATCGTTAACTACTTTTTAAGTCAACTTAATGGCTGCTCGACCGACTGAGAAAACGATTTCATCGCGGGGGCGGCGAAACCGGCTGAGACGTTCAGAATAATCAATTTATTCGACATGACAGTCGAATACGGTGTTATTAATATATCAATTATAATGTAACTAATTGCTATAATAAATTGTACACGGAATTGGAAATTCGATACATGGTCAATAGATTAGACTCTTGTAATCTGTCTGTAAAAAAAATGAAAGGAATTATTTAATTTTGCTGATGATTCATTTAGTAATCTCAGTTGTACTAGACAAAGGTAAATGGTTTCCATACATCTAAACGGGAGAATATTTTGATAAAGCGGTTATTTCTGCAAAAATTCTTTTTATCACCTCTAAAGTTAAAGTTGCTTGGTGCTTGGTGCTTTAAATAGACGCTATTCAACCTTACCTTTTAATAATTTCAAAGAACGAAACGTTTCTTGTACGCATTAGATAAACACATAACTTAGTTAAGGAGCTACACTATTAAATAAGATAACAATAAATACCCCCGCCGCAGCAAACCTGCAGACTAAGCGAATTTCCATTTGCCCTATTGGATTTACACTAAAATGTCTCCTTAAAAATATCACATTTATTCCCTTTAAATAGCATTAGTTTAACGACTACTTAGGTTTGCTGCAACAGGGAGGGTAAAAAGTTAGTTTTTTTGTAAAATGTTAATAGTTTAGTATGAAATGAATGCATTTTCCAAATTTGGGCAAAATATGTTAATAAACAAGCAAACTACAACAGTTTACTTATTCTCCATAAGAATAACATGGGAATTTTAAATTAACAATTTTTTGGAATGTTCTCCGTAACCATTAGACGCATTATAACGCTTCAATATACTAAATTATTTGTTTTTTTAAGCTCTACAAAATAGTTTGGAAAGAAATTGCAAAATTTTATGTTTTTTGGGTCAAAAATTGGAAAAACCCATTTTTACCCCATAAAAGCCCCCATAAACCCCCGTTCCCAAGGTCCGATCATTCTGGTTCGCGAACTCGTTCGAATAAACGTAGGTTTACACGTTTGTACCAAATTTCATCAAAATCGGATCATTTTTGCTCGAGTTATCGCGCTAACGGACACACACACACACATATATATATATATATATATATATATATATATATATATATATATATGAATTTGAACGGATGGTGTTTTTGGTCTCTAGGGACCTCAAAACGAAAAAAAAATCGGTCCCGGGTCCAGGTCTTACCATGAGTACTACGGTAATAGCTTATTCCCTATATGGGAAATTCGCTAAAAACTGATAATAATTGGTTTTGAAGGGTATTAAATAATCATTGTTCAAATACATTCATATGACCAGAATTCCTCTCATAGATGCCATGATTAGTGAGTACAACAGCATTACAAGCATTTTTCATTCTGATAAAAACCAACGTATTTTATAATATTATCCTGGGTAACCGAGAGGTTAAAGTGTTCGCCTCTAAATCTGAGGGTTGTTCGTCCGATCCCAAACGGTGTCAATTACGTGCCCAGATGTTATTTGCAATTATAGTATTTGACTTTCTTATTATACTCATTTTAGTAATGTATTATTCTTTTTATCAATAAGTCGCCAAGAACGAACAAATGGCAACACGAAGAAAATCACGAAAATACGAAAAATCCTCCTGCAAAAAATGAATAACATTAGCTTGATTTCAGTTATTCATACTATATTAAAAATATTATTTATATTATTATTGATAATATAACAACAACATTATCAACCAAACATCGCATTAATTTCCCCGGCACCTTACTGCGCGGAGAGGTGGAAGGAGGCGCTAGGCGCGGAGACGGTCAGTACGCTACAAGCGCGCAGTGTATACAGTCATCAGTGCGATGTATGCGGCAGTGTAGTACAGTGTATGTGCGCGATGTAGACAGTGTAGTGTCAGCGGAATGCTGCCATAACATGTGCATAAGCAAACCAGCAGTGCTGCTGCTACTTCACCTGCTGCTGATCCAACAATGGATAACTGCGGCGGACAGATCTAACGGTCAGTGGCTGTTTGTTTACACTAGCTTAATGTGATGTTTTGGCTAGATAAGAGAGGAGTTTGTTTGTTGAAGATAACACTGATTCCACGTAAACAAGTGTAAATATTATGAGCGTAGAAATTAAGTAAAAATAATTAAGTTGTAAAAATGTCTACGAAGAGTAATGGGTTTTGTACGTGTAAAATTGGAAGATAAGTGGTGTCGCTTTGTGATAGATACAATACAACATATCATCTCTGGGATACATGTATTTTACAAGCGTGGAAATAAAGTAAAACCATTAATTGTCGTATGAAAGAATTTGATATCAAAAATAGGTTGAAGTATAATATTCCAAGATACAGCAAGAGGAATTATTGGAGTTAGTTGTATTGTACCTAGTATTTTATAAGCATGTAGAGCAAGTAAAACCAATGATGTAGAGGAAAATGCCACTTAAAAGCAGATCCTCTTTGCCTAGGTTAAAAAGGCAAGATAGAGGTGTCAGTATTATGTTTTGTCAGTTTTTTGTATAATCACCCTAAACCCCCTGTATAAGTACGTGTCTATCATTTGGTTGAATATATTTTATAAGTGTGAATAAAGTAACGCTCATTTACACTATAAATTAATCTAATTGAATCAGGGATTATTTTATATGTTAAATTGACATGGTTTGTATTAGCCCTACAACTGTTGATTAGAAATGTTAACATTGGCATGGTTTGTATTGACCCTACAACTGTTGATTAAAAATGTTAACATTGGCATGGTTTGTATTGGCCCTACAACTGTTGATTAGAAATGTTAACATTGGCATGGTTTGTATTGACCCTACAACTGTTGATTAAAAATGTTAACATTGGCATGGTTTGTATTGGCCCTACAACTGTTGATTAGAAATGTTAACATTGGCATGGTTTGTATTGACCCTACAACTGTTGATTAAAAATGTTAACATTGGCATGGTTTGTATTGACCCTACAACTGTTGATTAAAAATGTTAACATTGGCATGGTTTGTATTGGCCCTACAACTGTTGATTAAAAATGTTAACATTGGCATGGTTTGTATTGGCCCTGTTGATTAAAAATGTTAACATTGGCATGGTTTGTATTGGCCCTGTTGATTAAAAATGTTAACATTGGCATGGTTTGTATTGGCCCTACAACTGTTGATTAGAAATGTTAACATTGGCATGGTTTGTATTGACCCTACAACTGTTGATTAAAAATGTTAACATTGGCATGGTTTGTATTGGCCCTACAACTGTTGATTAGAAATGTTAACATTGGCATGGTTTGTATTGACCCTACAACTGTTGATTAAAAATGTTAACATTGGCATGGTTTGTATTGACCCTACAACTGTTGATTAAAAATGTTAACATTGGCATGGTTTGTATTGGCCCTACAACTGTTGATTAGAAATGTTAACATTGGCATGGTTTGTATTGACCCTACAACTGTTGATTAAAAATGTTAACATTGGCATGGTTTGTATTGGCCCTACAACTGTTGATTAAAAATGTTAACATTGGCATGGTTTGTATTAGCCCTACAACTGTTGATTAAAAATGTTAACATTGGCATGGTTTGTATTGGCCCTGTTGATTAAAAATGTTAACATTGGCATGGCTTGTATTGGCCCTACAACTGTCGTTTAAAGACGCTTTGCGGTCAATGTTGTATTTTATTTTTGGCTAAAAAAATAATGACAAAGTAAAACCAAATCAAATTGCACTTGAGATGTTTGCTTTAATAAATAATAATAAGGTTAATTGCGTATTATAACATTATTATAATACAGATAGAAAAAAGAAAGATGTCACAAATAATTATTTCAAGAGAGAATTCAAAGTCTTGTTAACGTAATAAATGTTTCTTATGAAACAAATTGGATTTTTCGCACGACTGCTCAAATCGAAACCGACGTACGCATTTAGTGTCGCAGTCTTAATTAACTTCTTATGTCATTAGTGAAACATACCTTACCAAGTGGATGATATGTACGATTACAATTTATTTAATTTATTTCTTGTACAGAATGAAGGTAATATTTCCTTATTATCACATAAGAGCAATCAATATTAATATTCTGAATTAATAAATTACTAATACATTAACTAATAACATTAATCATGTCATTCATCCTAATTCTAAGAGTGGAACTTGTATAGTAAATGAATCTACTTTTTGTAGTCCACTCTGAACGTTGTATAAAAATACACAAATCGGCTACTGTACAAGTAAGTTGTTTTATTTTTAATCGTCTGTCAAACCCATTTTGATCGATAAATCAATCCAGTACAAAACCTTGCTTTTCTAAGAGTTTGAAGACATGTTATATAAAAACAATAATATCTCTAACCCAAATGCAATTTGGTCCAGTTTTCGGTTTGTAGTAAAAATATGGCAAATCTAGAACACAACTATTCAATATTATGTCATTAGCATAAACAATCTTTATATACCTCAAATTGATTCACGTATATTTAAAATATGTTGTTGATGTTATTTTTGTCTTTAATCCAAAGTTTGTCACACAATCCGTTTATTGTAAAAGAAGCAGAGGGAGACTATTTGTACAAAATCATTGATTTAAGAAAGCTTACACTGTTGCCAAATATAATAATCCATTCTTACCCTAGAAAGCGTTGAGCTTTCAATTTCACACTTTCTTTTCATGTCCATAAATAATAGTATGAGCTGTCACCTATGACAGTACTATGACTGGTAACTATATTTAGTAAAAATAAAATTCAGAAAACTACTCACTGTACATAAATACTAAACTAAACTAAATATCAAGTTCAAACACTCGTTCAACCTATGGCAGTTTATACCGCCAGTACATAAGAATCATAAAATACGCTAACACAAAAAAATTTAAAATTTGAACGTTTTGGATCAGTTTAGCGAAATTGGAACAAGTGAAATAGGTCGAAAGTTGTGGGTTGTGTTCCACAACCTCGAGAAAGCGCGTAGTTCAGGAGGACGTGCACGGCGTACCTTTCTCTAGATAGACTAATTGTACAGCTCCCAGCTCCAGGAGGGTCTTCTATCTCTAATCTCTAGCTACTATTAGACTTGGGTCAGTGGACTGTTGGCACAACAATGCGTAGAAGTTTCAGCGTATCTTGTGAAGTTGGCAGTAACCTGAACACAATTATAAAAGAGAAAAACTGAGCTCGCCGCATTTCGTAAAATAGTTTACATGCTCGGAGTTCTGTAAATGTTTGTTGGTAAGAGGATTTTAGTAGGAGAATATGACAAACCGTACTAATAATACGTAGCCTATTTGAGCTTTTCCCAACAAAACCAAACGGAAAATAGTAGATAAATTAAGAAAGGTGTAAAAAAACAATTGAGGCATTACGATCTGTATCAGAAAACCTGTAGAAATTAGTTAATTAATCTAAACGTAGTCGTTATGTTGATCACCTTAAAAATCGAAAAAAATTCGTTATAAAAGAATTCTGATGCATTTAGAAAGTCTTCTTCAATGCACCAAACAAATTTGTGTTTACCAAAACACTACAATCGTTTGTACCCTTTTTAAGGACTACGCAATCACACCCTTGCGCAAAATTCTTCAATGGAACCAATTAGGAGGATTGTGAATTGTGTTTTCTACATATCAAAGGCGTGATTCATACAGTAGTAAGCTTATCATACAAATACTTGCACATTTCTTCACAGGTTTTATGTGATAAATGTGACGAATCGCCCATAATGCATGACTCATCTATTGTTTACAGCGCTTCTGTTAAGCAAAGTGAATCTACACAATCGTACCTCAATGGAAATACACTGAGCATTGCAAAATTTAACTAATTAATCAACAGGCTTGCAAAACTTTATAAAAAACCTTTTTACTGTTTAGTTTTCCTCCATGAATTACAAATCATTTTGATTGTACTCATGAGTAAAAGTAAAAAAAAATGCTATTATGTATTCAAGATTTTTTATGTACTAAGTAAAAACCCAGAGTACAATTCGCTGGTCTATCCGTTACCAAATAAAACAGTAGGCCTACAATCACGTCTAAATTAGTAATAATGTACAAGTATTAAGTAATGTTAAAGTTGAGCGTTTTTGGACGAAAGTAAATATGCTGGACACAATAAATCTCGAGTAAGTTATACTACTTCACTGCAGGAGTAAAATATGTCAGTCTAATGTCTTAGTTATATCGTATAGTACAGTATATTCAGTAGATACAATTTATATTTCTTCTACCATATGGCTTAGCCAACCCTTTTTGTCAGCGTTGAAAGTGTAATAGTTCAGAAAAGTAAATATAATTAACTGCGGTGAAAAGAATTCTCCCTATTGCTTCCATAATTTTAACCTCATTCTTTCTCCAATAAATTCATACGACGATTCCTTTGATGTTCCTCCCATATTATCCCAAGTAGCACTAAATGAACAAATTACACATATAAATACACTCATCTCTTGCAACTTTATGAGGACTTTGTGAATATTGGTATTACAGTAATTTATCAGAACTAGACCTAAGATACGATAATTTATAAAACCATACGATAGTTCAGTTATAATCTATCTCTCTACAATTTACCAACCAAACTAAAATTACACATATAATCACTCTACCTCTCTTGCATTGTACAAACACGCGGGAAAATAAATGACATTGCAGCTTGTAATTAAGTTGGCAGAACTGGAGCTAGTGTGACACTTTAATTGCTGCACAACCCGGTAGAGGTAGAGGAGTATTTCGTCAGTCGTCACATTGACTATCGCAACTCTTCTCAGGCTCTGTACTATGAGGCGCGCACGCAGCGCAGCACGCAAACGCCCAGAGAAAGTCACAACAATGCACGCCAACAACGGCGTTTCATAAGCGCTTTTTATACATCAAATGAGTTTTTTTGCACGTTCTATACCATGGTTCGGCGTAGAAAGTATCGGATAGATTATTAAAAGCTGTTCGTGATTATTTAAGCATCTATCTAGGCTTAAAAGTGATTTGAAATATTTTCGAATTATTCTTG